TTTTCGTCTCAAGATCATGTGATGTCTGGAGACTTAGTTTTTTCTTTTTTTGAACACAGTTTCAAGTACATTGTGCGTATTTGTATATATTAGGGTATTTGTTTAGGCCTGTTTACATTGCAATTTTCAACTTTGTCAATATTTTTTCCTACTTCTAGCAACTGTGTGGTGGATTTCGATAAACACATGTCGACATCAGAGGCGATTTTAGCCAAGATAACGCGCGAAGAGGAGTCTGATTATGATTTTGACAATGAACTTGCTGAAAGTACCTCAGATTCAGGTAATGAAATTGTACGAAATGTTACTAAATTTAACAATGATAATGTATATCACATTTTCGGTTCAAGGGAAGTAACATGAAGACTTGAGGAATATGCTGGCGATGATAGGGCTTTTGATTTGGACAGGGGTAATGAAACTATTGGGACAAATCTGCCTTTGATAAGTAAATTTTTAAATACAAGTGCAGCAAATATTGTCTTTCATTTACTTGGGCCTAAAGGTGAAGCTCAGGGAATAGTGAATGAGATGCATTTATTTTTATTGTTTATTACATCAGAAATGATAAATCATAGTGGTGAATCATACCAACAATATGCAGATGTTCAGTGGTACTTATCCCCTGCTGATGTTTAGGAGATAAAAATCTTAAAAGGGTTGTTGTTCACGAGTGGTGTATTGAAAATTACAGGGTTAAATGCCACAAACATGTTTTTATGGCATTTATATATTTATATATATATATATGTGTGTGTGTGTGTGTGCGTGCGTGTGTGTGTGTGTGTGTGTGTGCATATATATGTTCCACTTGTTTTTCAAAGCACTATGCCCAAAAAATATTTAATTTTCTCCTCACAGACCTAAGATTTGATGATAGAGAAAGGAGAGAAGTTTGAAGATCACTTGTCAAATTTGCTGCATTTCATAATATATAGAATACTTTAGCAGAAAACTGTGCAAAATGCTACACTCCATCTGAAGATGTCACAGTCACAACCCTTCTTAGTTTCCGTGGGAGATGCCCATCCAAAACGTACATTTCCACAAATTGTAATACACCATGAGGTAAAACAAAAGATCTTCCACAAACAGAATTTGTCAACTAAATAATTGTCAGTTACAGCATTAGACAGACAAATGTTTTGAGGTATTTTACCTCATCTGCAATGTCTTCAACAGGATATTACGGAAAACTATAAAATTGTAAAACCAACTATGTTTTACATATTATATCTCAGCCAAAGCCTGAGCCAGACTAGATTGACAGAGGGTTATTCAGTTTGGAAAAAATCAAACACAGTTGAGGGGTTAATGTTGTTCACAGACACCAGATAGACGGACGTTTTGCTGAAACTGGTATCAAGGACCCACAAACTACATGTCGGAGAATATTTTTATAAATTAAGCAAATGGATGTATCTAATTTTATTATCAGGGCCCTGCAACAAGTATTTTTCTGCTGAAAATTCACCATTTTTTCATGCAGCATTACACAACTTTATCTCTACTGTGTAAGCAGTAGCAAGAAAGTAAAAACAACAGGACAAAACGACAATAAGGAAAATGGTCAAAAAGTCACTAAGGCTGTCCAAACAAGAGCGTATGACATAAAATTGATTTTATTTTGCTCATAGGATTGCACCATTCAGTCTATTGGCCTTGTGTCGCATCCTTTCCTACTCACAAAATGAAGTCATTTTTATCACTTCAGAAATAACTATTATATTATAAAAATAAAATTTATTTTCTGAAAGTCCTACAATTACATTGCAACATGAAATTGAAGTGTTTATTTCAAAGAAAACAAAACAATTAACATGTCAAAAGAGAAATATTGGGTTTATTCCCTACTGTGCAACACTAAATGTTCACATCAAGCTGATACACATTTTACATTGTTCATTAGTGTGCCAAAGTATGGAGGTCACAAGAATCACACAGGCATGGCATTGTAAACGTTTCACCGTATGACGTGTTTACATTTGAAGCACCCAGTGCAGGAAGGGTTCATTTCGGCTATTTTAATGTTATGATTGGTGTGCCTTTCTTTTAGCTTTATCTTTCACTATTAAAAATATTTTTTGTAGTATATTACTTTGAGAGACTGCAAATGAATCTGCTGAAAAAGTCTCAAAATAAAATAATATGTCTTGTTGCAAATAGTTTTTTTCCATCTTCTGTAAAGTTGTGAAAATATAAGATGTATCCTTTCTGCATCGGGCAAGTCACGTGGACTTAAGACTTTCTACAATAATAGCGAAATAACCAACAAAATAACAATATGCTATGTTTTTAATAAGGAGCCTGTACAATAAACTATATCAAAGACATGGCATGGCTAGTGTCATTCATTATCCAGCATTTTACAGTATCTCTGCTTAACTTCAGATTGGTTGCGAGCCATAATGAACAGACTTTCCCGAATTAGTTGTTCGAAAACAAATCCTAATATTTTCTTAGAGTTATAATTTTGCGTGCGTACTTTGAATTTCATTTTTCATATTGATTTATTTAGCAAATGGGATTTCAATCCCATATTTTACTATGTTTCAAACAAAGATTTTAATCTACGTTACTCGTCATCATTGTCTTTAGCACTGCGCATTCCAATTTCGAGACATGCTTACATAATATCCTTACATCCAGAACAGATTTCTGCACAACCAATATACCGAAAGCAGCATGTCTGAAGACTATGTGGAATGCACAGGTTCAAGTCTCTATAGTAGGCTTTTCAAAAGACTTGATGGTGATTCCAACATTGTAGCTATGAGAACGTGTCTCTTTCCAAATGATCAGGGTATGAAGACTGTAAAGAGTTAGGGCCTTTGACAAGTTCTTCAATAATTCGAAGTGTCTAGATTAGCTTTATTTACTGTTATATAATTCAAAGACCGCCCAGTATGTTAAAAGTCGATGACTAATATAATCCATTATGATGGGTCCATGACTGATTGTAACTTTTTTCAGACATAAATGTGGGCTCTCACGTAGTTCTCGTTTGATTGGTAACTTTTGAACTATAAAAAGTAAAGTTTTAGTAAGATTTAAGTAAGGGACGGTTATCCCGGGAGCACTTTAGTTGGCCCAAAAACATTACAATGACTTGAGACCATTACCTATTTGAGATGACTGTTTGAGTCACTACGTAAACATCTCGATCGGAGGTAATCCAGCCAAAAAGCGGAGGGAACTCCTGAGATATGCGACGCC